TTGAGTCAGACCTGGCTCATAGAGACCCCTCCTTGGGTTTCCAAGGCAGTATCACTATGGAAGTAGATTGCCCCATCTTCCTTTCGAGGAGTGGCTGGTGGGTTTGAACCACCAGCCTTCTGGTTAGCAGTTAGTAGTCAAGTGCTTTAGGCACTACGCTACCAGAGCGCCGGGACATTCTATTAGCACATGCAAATATGTATGTAGAAATATCATCTGCCAACCTTATATATGAGTCGGGGCCGACTCGACGGCACATAACAACAACAAACAACAACAACCTTATATATGGTCATGAGTATATTTCCCTTTTGCCTACACATACATACCTGATCATTCAGCCTGTCTACTCATCTATTTACCCATAGATTAATGTTTGTCACTGATAATGCAGTAATGTATGTGTAAAAGGGTTTGTCTTTGTTGTCTGTACCTCTTGTGCACCTCTCTGTGTCTTTATTTTCCTTAGTGTTACTGTGTTGGTCACTCACTTTGGTATATTGACTTTTCCTTCACCCAAATCAATACTTGTCTATACCTGTCTAGCAGTGTTCCCTCCTTTCCCCTCGCATCCCTGGTAACCAACAAAGAAAGTGTCCTTCCATATATAACTTCCCTGACTTTTACAATAGAGGACTAGTACAATATTTGTCCTTCTGTGATTGATTTATTTCACTTGGCATAATGTCCCCCAAGTTCATCCATGTTATGTGGTGTTTTGCAGATTCTACATTATTATTTAGTGTTGCATAGTATTCCATTGGGTGTATGTACCATAGTTTGGTTATCCATTCTTCTGTTGAGTCAGCCGCAGGGATCCAGGTGTGGGGAGGGAACCCAGGCCATGCCCCACAAGTGGCAAGGTGGGAAAGCTGGGGAAAGGAGAAGAAAAAGGCCAGGGGGGTCGGGACAGAGTGAAGAGGCAGCAGTAGAGATCCAGGTAAGGAGAGGTTAGACAGGTTTTGAACAGCTAAGGGAGACAAACTTGTCTGTCGGTTTGTTCTACTGTGGTGACATGTTGCTGTGAGTATTGAGGCTGTGCCACTGGTGTTTCAAACCCAGCGGGGTGCACGTGGTGTACAATTTTCAGCACAGCTTGCAGACTGAGACAAAGAAGAAAGAAGAGGCCATTCACTTCTCAAAGAATCGACCAGGGAAAACCTTATGAATAGCAGAAAAACACTGTCTGATACATTACTGCGCAACTTTATGAATAGTCCAAAAACATTGTCCAATACAGAGGAGGGGGATGAGTC